TCAAGAGTTCCCATAATATAAACTACAGAAAACTAAGGTTCCCTCTTATCATTTACCTTATTTCTTCTAGAAATACTCAAGGATGGACTTGGAACCAGCATTCCTGGTTTGACATGTGAGTTTGCCAATTCCGAGCTTTACATTCTCACACAAGGTGCTAAACTTTCCTTAACCCACAGAACCTGACCCTGTACAGAGGTAATGATGATAATGCCAAGTTTGGGTGGTTTGTGAAAATTAAAAGCGACAAAGCCCATACTGCATTTAGCATAGGGCTTGGCACATAGTGAGAACCCAATACAGTCTAGCTATTACTACAGACTCTTGATTTCTATTTCCATCTCCTAAACCATAATGTTTTTATATATGCATACATACAAACACACATATATACATAAATATAACCCAAAATAAAGGTACTAAAAACAATTCCATTGGCTACAATTAGTACTTGGACTCTACACTGCTGACAGTTTATCTCAATATGACAATGGCAAAACTGAACACATGGTTTCTACATACAGCAAAGTCCACCTTGGCCAAGATACAGTCTGAGGGACCTCCCTGGCAGTCTAGCAGCTAAAAGACTCCACACTTTCAAAGCAGGGAACTAGATTCCACATGCCACAACTAAAGATCCCACATGCTACAACTAAGGCGTGGCAAAGTAAAATTAATAAATATATTTTTTTAAAAAGATACAACCTGAATAACATGGGCCTGATTTCCCTAGTGCTTCCTTATTCAGAAATAGACAATGTGATAGAAGAGACTGTGCTGTAATCAATCTTCAGTAAATTTCACCCATAAATTCCAAATCTTGTAAAACAGAGAAAACAAAAGAAGTGCATCATGTATTCCTCCAATTTCATAATCGATTTATTCAAACAAGAAAAAGTTATGGAATATATACCATGTTCTAGGCTCTGTGTGTGTGTGTGTAAAATGGTAGATTAGCAGAGTTAAAATCATCGGCGATTCTGAGAACAATTTAAATGTGCTAAATTCGAAGGCAGCATGGATTGAAAAGAAATATCAAGAGTTAATCACTCTCTAAAATACAACACCTACACACATAATTCAGCATGTCCAAGGACAGCTAATCCCAGTAAAAATAATAGCACAATTCACAAAGATAGCAGGTCAGCTATATGACCTGATGAAACCAGATATTTTAAAGACAAAGTTTAATATTACATAGCAAAACTCTAAAAAAAATTTTTTTTCTAAATCAGTGGATCTTAATTACATCCAAGTGAGGATGCCAAGGGGAGGATACGTGTGGCCACTTATTCATGGATGAGACAACGCCAGATAAGCGAAGAAGTTCATTTGTCTTGGTCGGTCCAGAAGATATTTAGGAAGATTCTCATTTGAACCTGACAGACGGGTGGTAGGAGATCAGATAACAGTCAATGAACAGGATGTTCTGAGCCCAATTGATAACATAGATATTGACAAGTCACAGGAATCAGGGTATTTGACTGCACTCCTTCAAGGCATTCAAGGGTGAGAACTGGGTCCTGGTGGACAAAATGCTTCACCTGCATCATAAGCAACAAGCTGCTGGGCCACAAGACCCCTGACTGACCAGTCTGAGCTGCTTTCATAGAAGGTATTGGCTTATAAAGTTAGGGTGGATTTGTTCAACAAATCCCAGCACACAAGAAACTACACAGGCCATGTCTTGAAGGTTAAGTGGAGCAAATTTAGGACAAACAGTCAGAAATAAGTCTTTAACAGCAGTCAGGAATTCTTAAGGAAACTTAAGGGCTTCCCCAGTGGCTCAGAGGTAAAGAATCTGTCGGCAATGCAGGAGTCACAAGCTTGATTCCTGGGTCAGAAAGATCCCCTAGAGGAGGGCATGGTAGGCCACTCCAGTATTCTTGCCTGGAGAATCCCATGGACAGAGGAGCCTGGTGGGCTACAGTCCATAGGTGTCAAAGAATCAGACACAATTGAAGCAATTTAGCACACACACATGCACACAAGCAAACTTAAGGAATTCATTAACTCCAAAGATATAAACTAAAAATATGAACAGATTCCCCAAAAGTTTAGATCAATTCAGAGGAAAGCTTTCAGGGGCAATGACTTGGCAGCCTAGGGCAAAAGGTCTTTGAAAGTGCCCTTGCTGAAGGGATAAAGAGGTGCTCCTCTGTATTTTCTGGCACCCCAGGGGTGGGTCTCTTTGGTGTCTTCCATTTGTTAGTAGTCCCCCTTCCTTTCATGGAACTTTATCACCCTCACTGTCAGGCTTGGCTTTTTGGCCTCATGCATTCCAAAAGCCTGGTGGACAGTCACTGTGATACATTATTCCTGTTTCAGTCTTGTTCTGTCTTCTTTCAGCAGGGTCAGGTTACAATGTATTTCACAGGAGGAAGGAACAGACATCATATCTGCCCAGGGCCAGGAAGAGGGTGAGCTCACACTCCACCTTCAGCTTCCAAAAATGCTAAGCTTTCTCAAGGGATCAGGTCCTGCCGAAGCCTCATCCCACCTCCCTCCATTCCTCCAGGCCTGCCTCTCCCCATGGAAGATAAACTCTCTACCACAGGACACAGAGGACAACGCAGAAGGAAGCCATTTCTGCAAACAGTAATCCAGGTATAGATTCTCTTTGCCATCCAACACCCCAAATAAGGCTTTGTGACCCCTGGAATGTGAGACAATATGTAAAATATGCCAAAGAGAGCATCATTATGTTGTTTATTATGACCTAAAAGAAGCAAGGATCTGGAATGTGGAGGATAAGAACACAAAGACAGAATTGGGAGCTGTGCAAAAGGAAAAGAAAAAAAAACATATCACTTGTTATATACACTTGTTATATACAGGTCATGTGCCTTAGCAAATTCCATCACAAAGATCACCTGAATGTCAGAAGGTGAAGGCCATATTCAAAGAGCTACCTCCAAACATGGAGGGGTTGGCCCTGGACACAAATAACATGGTAACATGACCCTGGGAGGGAAATGTGTTCTGAGTTACACCAGGGCCTGACGAGGCCTCTCCCGCAGGCTCTTCCTAAATAGGGACTTGGCAGTGGAATTAGCGAGGGCTGGAGGGGACATCCTTGGCTACGGAGGTGAGGCCCTTTAGGGTCTTGAGGAAATTTGGACAGAAGTTCTTTCTCCCTGCTGATAATAACACTGAAGGATCAGCGTCACATCCATTTTATTAATTTTCTTGACAGGCAGATCTAGTTTCCACGCAGGCACCACAAAATCAAAACATACGCATGTCAAGTGCCCCATGTGGGGTGGGGCCCTGCCAAGGCCGTGTTCCGTCAACACCAGGAAGCAGAGCCCAAGTCCCCAGACCATGTGTGCTGGTCCTGTGGGTAATTCCCGGCTGGAAGAAAGCACCAGAGCTGGGCTGGACGAGCCAGAGGAGTGCGCTTGGTGACAGTCCTTTATCCTGCTCTGGGCTCCTTGTATTGAATGTAAGACCCCTGGCAAACACCAGGCTACATCTGGCTCTGAGGCTTGTCTCTGAGTCCAGCACAAAGTCCTCCCTGTTGCCTCTATCTGCCTGCGTTCAGTTGTATCCAGGCAGGGGACTGGCAGCCTGGATTAACGGAGCCATTTAAAGAAAAGCAATGTCCTTATTTGTGAGCTGGGTCTGAGCCAGGATTTTGCAGAGCTGAGGTCTCTGGGCACATAGTAACTAAAGGATATTTTCATCAAGGCATCCGTCACTAAAGTGACTGAAAGGACCCCAGGATGATTTGTTCTTTTCTGTAACATTAACTATAAATCGGCTAAATAATATAAATGAGGTGGGCAGAGAGGGTAAGGACTGAGATGAAAATCCTAAGTCACATAACTTATGGATGCTGAGGGTGAGCCCTGACAGGGAGTTAGCTCATCACCTGCATCCCCATCCTCCCAACATACCCCTGTCTCTGCATCCAGGGTCACTCCCAACTGCTGGTGCTGGAGGCAGCAACAATGGCAGCAAAAGGCTGGAGAGTTCACACCTTCGATTTCAGAGTTTCTGGCCCCTCTGCAGGATCTCCTAGTGACTGACTCATTTCCTACCTCAACCACTAGCAATTCAGGAAGGGGAATGTAAATAAACAAATACCAGGGAGAGGAATATAAGGCTAGATCTTGAGCTAATAGCCACCAATGCCAAATCAAGGAGGCCCAGTCTAGACAGATTTACTCTGCTGGTTTGCTACCTTGCCTGTCTAGGCTAAGCAATCCAAGGATAAGGATCACCAAGAGCTCTCAAAGCCCACTCAGCAGAGTCCTGGGTCCTCAACCCAATGTCCTAGAAACACTCCTGGCCTGGCCTGTGAGGACAAAGTTAGGTCCTCCTTTGTCTGAGTCAGCCCAGTGGTCAGGGGCCACTTTTGGGACTTTGGAGAGGCTGCCCAGTCACCCTAGCGGGTGAACTGCTGATCACCCGATGAGTATATCCAGGCCGCCCATCTCATGGTGTAAAGGGCCCTGTGGCCCAGGACTCAGTTCTCCCTTGACTCTTCATTCAAACAACCATGGCATGTTGGCCCTGCTGGCCTCCTTGATTGTGCAGAAATAAATAAATGAATTATGTTGTTGGGGTTTGGGCTTCAGCACAAACACATGGTCTGCATTTATCCGCACAGTGAGAGGTCCAGCAGCCACTTGATGTAAAAGAGCAAAATGATAATTCTTTTCTTTAGGCGCGCTGGTGCCATATGGAATGTATATAAATCATATTTTTGTTTTAACAGCGGAGGCTTTGTTGATAGATAAACATGTGGTTTATCTAAAAAAAGAGAGAGGATCGTGCTTTGAACAATCATTTAATGGCCATGGATGTGCCAAATAAAAATAAAAACATAATTTTGAAAGAAGCTGGCCTTGTGCCCAAATCTGTAACAAGGAATTTCTGCTTAACCAGAGTGGTTAAAGCCCGTCGATCTGTTTTGAGTTTAAGTTGTGCTCTCTACTCAACCCCACGACAAATTGAATCCGGGGCTAATGCGCTCTAATCGGACGAGACGTTACCTTTATGAATGACCTCATGGAGAAGAGGTTGGCGAGCATGGTAGAGAGCCCTTGAGCCAGGCAACTCTGGGCGATGAACCCCAGCTTCAGCTCTGCGAGGCAGATTGCATCATCCCCCTCTTTCCAATTCCAGCTCGGGATGTTTAGCAGATGGGCCTGCAGAAACAAAAAAACAGGTATGAGACCTTACTTTGTTAAATGTTCAATTGTTTAAAGTCTCCTCTGGGAAACGCAGTATTTCCCAACTGCTCAGGGTCATCCAGACTCCGCCTTCCTTTCCCTTGCCTGGGCCTGGCGTTTCCTGCTTTATTCAGCTCTTCTGTGCATCAGATCTCAGTCTCTCTGCAGCTCTGCTTCTGCACCTACCAAGTCCAAGTCTTCCCCTTGGGTTTGTCACTGAGCCAAACAGAGTCCAGAGAGAATTTCCTCTTGTGACAGACACGTCAACCTGTGCTACTAGAATGTCTGGCTAGGTTGTTCTAAATTGGCTCTCCAAAAAACCTTAAGACTGTCAGACACCTGTATATTTTAGATTTCTTTTTTATCTGCCTTCCCAGATCTCTTGCTCTATGGCTCCAGAGCTTGAGTGGGCATCCAAATCAACTGAAGGGTTTACAAACTGTCACCCTCTCCCCCACAGGTTCTGACTCTTTGGGGGTGGGGTAAGATTGGAGAATTTTCATTTCTCACAGGTTCGAGGTAATGCTGAGCTAGGAACCACTTTTTGAGAAGCACTGCCCTAAATTATCAGGCATGTCACAGTGGAGACATGTTACAATCTCTTGCAGATGGACTGATCCTATTCACCAGTGAGGTCAGACCCTGAAACGAGGACCCAGCGGCTTGATCATCCAATTATTTTTAAGTGGCATGAAGCAGAGAATCAAAGATAATACACTAGATGAAAGAATTAAGGCCCCAAAGTTCTCCAGAGTTGGAAAATGGGCCAAAGAAACAACCAGAAAAGATTCAAAAGGCTGTAATGTCAAGTATAGCACTTAGGTTTAAAAAAATCAATTGTATATATCCAAAATGAGAAGCCCTTATTTGGCAACAGATATGAAGGGACAGAAAAAGAAAAAGTGTTTGGGTAAACTAAAAATCTCCAAAAGAGGCCAATCTGTGACAGATTACAGAAAAATCTAATGGTAGTTCATCAGAAACTGTCTCCAGATCACAGGACATACGAATGTTCTCTTCTGCTGTGAACTGGTCAGGCTACTTCCCCAGCACTTGATCCAGTTGTCAGATTAAAACAGTCAGATTTAAAAAGAGAAGTTGACAACTGAATAACTCCCAGAGAAAAATGGCAGGCTTTAAGATGAGACATGATTTCTAAAAAACATCTTTTGAAGAACAGTTAAGGGAGCCAGCAGCATTCAGCCTGAAGCAGCGCCACACCTCCAGGAAGACAGGATGGTTTTCTGTACATACCTCAGGTCCTGCTGTGATGAGCAGAGACCAGGCCTGTCTTGCTTTGGTCCAGAATTAGGAACGACTGACTGGTATCTATTATAAGAAAGAAGCTTTTCTGGCTTGTTTTATAAAGGAAGTTTTTAAGGATGTAATTTGCCTAATAATTGGAGAAAGTTACCTCCAAAATTGCAAGGTCTTTGTCCCTAAAACTCAGTATGCATTTCTCCAAGACTCTGCAGACTCATGCTTTGCACAGGAGGCTGAGTCAGGCCCTTCTAGGCTTCTGCTAATGCCAAGACTTTATGGCCCTGAAATGACTATTTCTCTCCAGGTATTAGCAAACACAAGGAGCACAAGGAGGCATCCCTTCACTTTCAGGGAAATATACGATAGGTGTGCTACTAGAGAGAGAAGATTCCACCGTGGAGCCACGACCAAGCCCAGTGGCTCCAAGCGTGGCTTTCAGAAATACCACTCTTGTGAAATTCCCTCTTACAAAATCCTGTTCTGTAACAATCTCGTGAATCCTAATCCAGCAGCGTTTATTCCTGGGAAAGCTGACTGTATCCTCCCCAATGAAAGCAGTTAAAATAGCCCCATGTGTGGGCTACAGCAGATGGGAATTTCTGTCAAGCTAAGTATCAGAGACCTTCCCACATCATAGACTCAATTCCATTAATTACCTTGCCCTTTATCTCATTTCTCTCCCTATCCTTCACTGGCTTAAGAAGCCCATTTTCCCCCTTTACGTCCCTGGTATCATAGAGAATATATCAGGCTAAGTGGAAAAACACTCATCTGCAATAGCATCATCTGAGAAGAATGAGGAGAAATTAAATCTAAGTCATGAACACATAAATCATCAAGTGTGAAAGGAGATGTGGGTGGTCCAAGCCCCAGACAGACACCATGTAACCCTCATGGTACCTTCAAACAAATAAAATAATCTTTTTAAGATGGTCTCTCATATCCCCATGTGCCAGTTTTTGGATTTTAGGTCTTGGGTCCCTCATGTACCCATCTGGTATTGAGTTCCTTAGACATATTGCACATGTTGTTACACAGAAATGTCAAGTTTGTTTCACCTCTCAGCCTGTTTGGCTATCATATCTTCTCCAATTGTGGGGCAGGGAGCCACCAGGGACCTGCCAAAACTGGAAGGACTGTGTTCACCAAAAAAAAAAAAAGAGAGAGAGAGAGAGAGAGAGGAGACTGATCCAGGAATTCAACTTGTTTGCTTCTGGTGACTCTGTACTTTTTCATTTAGGGAAATGTGGGTCCAGTGGGAGATGCCAACATATTACTATGTAGGAGTCTAGAGGCAAATCCTCTCTCATATGGAGAACCAGCCCTGCTAAGGCAGGATGAGCAGGACCACAGCTTTCCTCTGTGTGAGATGAAAGGAACGTGAAAATAGTCTGTTCTGGAAACCAGAACAAACAGACTCCAGTCCCTGTGCCATCTCTCGCTACACATTCAGCTTTGGGAAAGCCACCATGGTGAAGAAAGAAGGTCACCTTGGAGCAAAGACTGTAACATTTCTGCTCAAGTATAAGGGTTTACAGTGAGAAAGCTCAGAGAACGTCCATCTCCACTGGGCCACCGGGACTTGGCTTCCGGTCACAGACAAAGATCTCTTTTCCTAGAGTCTGCCAGGAACATTTTAAAAGTCCGTTGATAGTGAACTAATCAGGAGTGACATTTTTCCAAGATGTCATAAAGCATCCTTTCCTTCAAGAGTTTTAAGCCCTTTGCACTCAAATAAGAAAAACACCCTGCGTCATCTTTCCATGTTGGGAGATGGTAAGGCTGAGTGTTTCTCTCCTTGAACTCTACTGGGGTAAACAGATGGACTTTGGAGACCCTCAGTCCTTCTGTAAGTCCTACTCAGAGGAACCACAATTTAGTTCAACAGCCTGTGGCTCTACTGAATGAGAGGGTGGCAGTTGGCAGTTCTGTCTCTTAGTTCACTGTCTCCCAAGTGACCATGAGTTGTACCCATCAGAGATGCTCTGTCTGAGACAGAACTTAGACCCACGGTCTGCAGTGACACTGGGATACTGAAAGGAACAGGTGGTTAAATGAGGACTAAACGAGATAATGGATGTCAAAGCTCTTTCAAAACTGTAAAATATGACACAAATGTCTGAGATTATGATGATGACAAACTCAGGATCAGTTTTATATGGAAAGAAAGAAGATCGCTTCCCTACATCCCTAGATCCTAGAATACCACCATCAATAGATCATGGGGAATTAAAGTTCTTCCTATTTTAAGGTTGGTATTCAATTATGGAATTAAGTATCCTATGGAATATGCTGACAGTCATGTAAGTGTACATGCATGCAACAGGTTCTTTCCTGAAAGCAAGTTTGTTTTGTTTTTTTGAAAGCAAGTTTTAATGGATGGAGATCTATGGGCATCTAGTTGTGGGTGAAAAGAAAGTGCTAAGAGATGAAGAAAAGTAATACTATAAAGGTAGCTAGGATCTTAGGTAGCTAGGAGGTAGCTAGGAGGATCTTAAAAAAAAAACAGCAAAATTGTAAAGCAAACTGAAGAATGCCTATTTGCAATTCTACAAGGAATGAGATGACAAATAATGACCAGTGGACTTCCTGTTCTTTCTCTACAAGAGGAAAAGGAAATGAAAAGAGCCTTGTAACAAAGTCACTATGTCCCATTCACTCTCACACATCCTACAAGAACAAAGTCTTATAAGTGACTTTTCCTAACTCTGAAACCCAAATAGCTTGGGGTGGTTCTAAACGAAATGTGTTTTAAGCGATTAATCATGGGTCGATTGATGTGTTCATCATTGTTTCTGAATAATGACAAGGCAGAGACTGTAAAAGACGTTCAGTTTGCCCTGATCATGTGAAGACTGACCAGTGGCATCTGGACCCTAGGTCCACAGAACTACTTCTGAGTTTGACAAGAATCACAGAGCTGAAATTCTCCTTAATTCCTTGAAGATGCTATATCAGCACTCATTGGAAGGAGAAGAAAAGGAACTGACATCCTTTTCTAAACATACAACATTCATTTTCCTATTCAATCTAAATTCAGCCCCAAATCTAAACAATGGCTTAAAGCACTCCCACACTAAATGAAATTTCAAATCACAGAGGAAGGAGGGAGAGTTCACAGCCTCGAGAGCTTTCACCAGCCACAGCCTTGCTCATAAACTTCACCTCCACCTACAGGGGCTGCTATTAAGACTTCTCCAGATTGGTGCCGGTGGGTTACCAACACCCTCACTTTCTCTCTTTAGTCTCCTGGGTTTCCAGAGACAAAGAAGACACTGTGACCTTGGGTGCCCACCACCCAACCCACTGGCTGGAGCCCAGTACAGTCTGCAGTGGAACCACCTTGGAGGGCTGGGTGGCAGAGGGCCGTGGGCAGCATCCCAGTCACCGACAGCAGGCTCCAGCCCACAGTGCCTCTGACGGGCTTCCACACAACAAGATGGGACAGCGCCTGCCAGCAATTAAGAAATAATGGCACGGCACTGGCACATTTGGCAGAACGGAGTCCTCTCTGGGTCACCTGACTGCCTATTTCGTAGGGAATATGGCCCATAAGATGGGACAAACGCTCACTCACAACCCAGCAGGGAGTCATTCTGTCCAGACAGGACACCTGGTGGCAGGTACTGAGCAGCCTCCAGTTTCTCATAACTGGTTCCACATCAAACACAGAGAGACGCCACCTTCCCTCCCCCAAAGCTGTTTTCCTTGGAGTCTCCTGACAGCCAAGCAAAGGAGTACTGCCTCTGAATGAGAGACAGGACTGTGGTTTATGGAGAAGGAATCACAAGGAAAACAGCATAGACTCCAACACTGGTTTTCTTTCTGATACCCCCTAAACTGTGAAGTGAAGTGAAGTTGCTCAGTCGTGTCCGACTCTTTGCGACTCCATGGGCTGCGGCCTACCAGTCCATGGAATTTCCCAGGCAAGAGTACTGGAGCGGGTTGCCATTTCCTTCTCCCCCCTAAACTGTAACACTAACAAAATCCTTTTATGTTTAATCTCTGGAGAGCCAGCTATTTTCCTGAATTCAACTGTGCACATTCTCACCTTGAGTTTGAGAACACCGTGTCCCACATTCTCCACCCAATGCACAGTCCATCCCCCCAAGTTCACCTGGTCTCAGGTAGAAAAGTGCCCTCACTCACCTAGGACACTCTCCACCTTGACTGCAAAATCCCTGAGCACATACCCTCTCCACATGGGCTTGGAGGAGGCAGGCCAAGTGCCGACCAAGTAATAGGTATTCGCTAAATACCAATGGAAGAAATGAGTGCAGCACACAGAAATGGAGGTTGTTGGAATGGAGTCTAAGGACATATTGATGTTTCTGAACCCAGGGGACCAACAAATGTTTCCTGAATAAATAAGTCAGTACGTGAAGGAGTTTCCCTCCAAAGACCACCAGCAAACAAGGTGTCTGAACTAGAAGAAATGTCCCGGGAGGTTTTCACCCATCACCCCTCCTTCTCCAGGTCTCTGGATGGCACTGGTGTACGTACACATGCATGCACACACACGAGTGTGCAGCTAGACCTCACACTCATGAGAGCTTGGACCCCATCTGTACCTCTGAGCCTGGGACAGGCTTGCTGCCCTACCTTATTGTGATACTGCAGCATCTGAGTGATGATTCTTATCTTCGGGTGGTAGTTCTTTATGGAGATGACTCTGAAAGGAAGAGAACAAAAGTTGAGCCAGGGTCTGCCTCACCCTTGGAGTCTGATGGGAAGATTAATTTGATTACATCCAAATGCAGTGACTATGGGGCCAGCAGCCAGGGCCTGCAGAGGGGCTGCAGGCACTGGGCCAAGTTAAACTGTGTTTCCACCACCATATCCCATGGTTGTGTGAAAAGGAACTCACAGAGTGGCCACAGACCGTGTCTTAGACATGAAAGAAGAAAGAGATCCTGTGATGCCATGGTGACGGCGTGTATGTACCGGGCATGAGGGGTCTGGAGCAGGGTGTCACAGGCTTATTGCCTACCTAGGCATCTAAACAAAACAAGTTCTACTCGTGCGGCCAACAGAGGTTTGCCATCTCACATACCCTAGGGAAGAGCCCAGAAACGATTTGCTCTGAGTCCAGTATTCCAAGTTAACAACATGAGACAACGTGACAAATCAGACAAGCAGCCTGACAAATGATTCTAATTGTCACGCACACATGGCCACTCTCACAGAAATGATTTCTGAGCAGGACTCTTAGGAGGGGATCCATGACTCAGCCTTTGATAGTTAATAGCATCTAGATGACGACTTTGATGCTGGTTAGATAAGTGCCAAGGCCTTGTGGAGGTCATGGTCTGCTGGAAAATTCCCCCGAACTGCTCTCAGTCCATATTTAGTATTAACCACTGCCTGCCCCCACCTCAACCCTCCCTTCTGTTCCCCATAACAATCACTCTGCTCAAAGGGCAGGGGCTGGGAACAGAGGACCAGAAACACCTGCATACTAGTCCCAGCTGCTACACTAACAGACTGGGTGACCTTCAGGAAATCCCTGGGCACTCTGACTGTTACCTCATCTGGACACTGGGGGCAATGGTACCTGCTTTATGTATTTCACAGGCTTTGGTATGAGCAGCACATGAAAAACCAGATGTGAAAATGCTTTGAAATCATTAAAAGCTCTCTCCATGTGTAAGTTATGGTTTTTGTCATTACCGACTCTGTCAGAGGTGACATTGTACATTTCCTTCTGTGACAAGGAAGGCTAAAGAAAGGAATTCCACAAAAGGCCCACCTCCTAAGCCTAATCAGAAATGCAAGTGCATTTATCATGACCACCCCCACAAACTTCCCACCAGGAAGCTCTCTATGCTTCATCCCTTTTTGTGCAAAGATGGAGAGAAAGCAGCCAGGAAGCAGCTTTGTCTGAAAAGCGACCACTTGTGAATTTAGGAAATGGATCATGCAGAAACTTCTCCCTGAACAAATTCACCCTGGGCTTTTACACTTGAAGGATTAATTTTATTTTTGAAAAAGTATTGTGTTGGCCCATGCTTATAACTCAAGGACTTTGAGCCTCTGTCAGCTCTCGGAATTCAGTTCACAGCATCAGCCAGTTTTCTGCATTAGCTCATTTCAAACAGATCTTTGACATTTTAATTTCAAAAGGGGCAGATTGGTCTCATTAAACTAAGGAGAAAGGAGGATTATACAAATAAGGGAAAGACAGAGCCCATTTTTTAACCCTGAGCTTCCCACTTCCTTCTGTTGACTGGGCCTTAGTTCTGATTCTGGCTAAGGGATGGCTTAATCACACTTCTGATACTACCTTTGTTCAGTCATTTTTATGCCTTGGCATAAGGTACCCTATATGCTTTCATGTTAACCCTACTGTCATCAGGGCTTAAACAAAATACTGTGAAAAGAAACGCCCACTTCGAAACTATTATCAATTATTCACTTAAAAAAGTAAAATAAAAGGCAGTACCAGCCCCCAAGTTTCTCCATAGGGTCAAAACATTAAGCTTCATCTTCTTTTGGTTTTTCATTTGACATTTTGAAAAACAGTGTTCTTTAAAAGCTACAATTTTATCACTTTAAATGACACAGAAATGTGAAGGCTAGAAATCCTAGTTCAAGGAAATAGTCAAGTGATGGACCTTAAGCTGGGGCCACTGTGGTCACTTTGGAGCTGTGACTGGTTATGGGACAGGCCCAGATGTGGAAGCAGGTCCCCATCCCACCAATTCCCTGCAGGCTGGGAAGCCCAGTGCCTACAGGAATTTGTGCATTGACTCTCTTAGGATGACTGCACTAAGCGTACTGTCAAAGAAAAGTGAGCAGAAATAGCACACTGGGCCAGATGTCACTTGCCAGACACAAAGACCAGATGCTGAGAGGAGGACGGCGTGCTCCAGAGGAACTCCGCCCCCTCACTGATGGGCAAGCTCACAGCCCTTGGGACCACTGAGGAACAGCAAAGCCAAGGAGAAGCGAGCACTGTGGTGGTGCAAAGGCAACTTCCCTAGCCTCCACCCCAGGTAAATTCCCAGGACACGGGAAACCAAGCTGCAGGGAGAGGGGAATCTTGGTCTAGACCCAAAGGATGGCTGTTCACAATTAGCCAAGAGTTCCTGGGAATCTAGTGGGAGTGAAATGTTTCCTCTTAGTTCATCTCTTCTCCAGAAGATTCTCTATACAATCCCCTCCCAGTTCTCTTAACTACTCTGCAATTTATGCTCCAGTCGAGAAGAATCCAAAAAGAGTTTTGACTGTTTGGAGCAAAACATCTTAACTTTCTGGTCACCTCATAGCCCCAAGATGTCTGGAACATGGGTCTATGTGAAGAAAAATATGGAACAATTTTCTCCTGAAATGATAAAAAAAAATAAGGAGCAGAAGTTGGCCTGAAAATGGGCTTAGACGGGCCTAGCCTATTTACAACAAAGCTATTGGGCAGTGTTTTCCAAAGACTGACCGCCACTCCCCCAACCTCACCAGGAGATGTCCTGTTAGAAAAGGGGGGGCAGGGGGAAGGAGATTGTAGTCAAAAAGGTTTGAGAAACTCTCTACAGAACATTACCTTAGAAATTCATATGAGTATTGAAAGCACTGAGGAGGCTTTCAGTAAAGAAAACTATTACATCTGGGGAAACTGGTTGAAACAAGCCAATTGATCAACAAACCCCTCTTTGTGGGAGATATTAATCAATGTGCTGTAGATGTACTTGGAATGCTCTAACATGGGGCTCCTCATTTGGGGCCGGACAATTTTCTGCTACAGGGGCCCGTCCTGTGCACTGTAGGATGTTGAGTAGTAACCTTGGCCTCTACCCAGCAGACATGAGCAGTGCTGTCCCCTAACTATGACAACCAAGAACATTTCTGGATATTCCAAAACATCCCCCTAGTTTAGGCACATTCCCAATGAAACCTATCTTTCCTTTGCTACTCCTGCACCCCAAGTCTGCTTGGGAGCCCTCATATCTTTTAAGGCTGAGCTTTTGGCTGGCGATGCCTTCTGCACCCACCACAGCCTCCGTTCCCCCCACCCTGGGCCTATAAGGTGGCTAATGAGGAAAGAAGGTCCTGCAGAGACAGTGCTCTGTAGAGGGACCCAACATAACAGCAAGGGGCCACAAAGCACCCAGCCCAGAGCCCTCCCTGCCTCCCCGAGTTACCTCATGATGTTGGAGGCATCTTCGGCATCGGGGTCTGCGCAGTACTTATTGGCAAGGATGAGGCATGCATCTGCTGACTCTATCTAAGACACCAAAGAAAATCACAGAACACAAAAATATGAATAGCCATCCTTGATTGCAGTCTCTCTCTGCTGACAGCTCTGGGGGAACCTGGTGCTTTGCAAGGCAAGAAAAAAATAATAATCCTGAGAGATTATAGTTTTCGTCAAAAGTGTAGGTTGCAAGTTCTTGTTATGGTATAAACATTTCATCTTGTTGCTGCTGGAAGGGACAGCATGTACCTTGGTAATTATACTTTTCATTTTGCATAGCCTCTTACACAGAAGCTTTCTGTCTTGAGATAACAATTAATTAAGGCTTTCAGTCCCTCTCCACCTCATTTCCCCACCATTTGCACCATCATCCTAACTTTTCCAACCAGGAAGTGGTGTTAGGTGGGTGAAACCCCTTCTCTTAGGCTACCAAGTTAACTGAGTCATTGAGGATTCATAAATTTAGACTCAAGTCCTTCATCTAACCTTTTTTCACATCTTAAATGCGGAATAAGAGGAAATGAGAGCCCTAACTCAGATAACGGCTCAGTACTGTTTAGTATTCAGTTAGCATTCAGATATTCAAAAGACAACAAATCTGAGTGTGAAATGATATGTTACAGATGACCTTGAAAGACAACCTAAAGAATTATCTAAACATGTGCCAACAGATACTTATTCCTTTGAGGGGATCACAAGTTGTGCTAAGAATTGCTTGCAACTAAATCAGGTCCATGGACAATAATTGTTTTCCCCAAGTTCTCATAAGATTTCACATTAGACATAACTTGGATCATGTCTGGATAATATTAACTAGACTCTGTAAGCGTAAGTATTCCCATGCTGGCTCTGGTCTGTCCTACTTGGGACGTTGTGCTTATGACAGACTATTTCTGCATTTGGTGGGAGGGCATGGTTTCCTCCGTGGTATGTCACAAGTTGTCTCCAGTATTCTCTCTTTCATAAAGCAAAGAATTTGCCCAAATTCTTTTGGCTTATTCATGCTTGCCAATTACATTATTTACTGAATTATGCAGTGACCACAGTAAGCACTGAGATGTCAATGGATTCAGAATATTAATCTATCCCCACTGGCATGCAAATACTGAACATGCTTACAAAATCCATATAAAATGAGTAAAGTGGTGGATGCTGTTTTGCTGTATTCCTTTCCCTTATAAGTCTTAGGTGTGTTTATAAGAAGATTCTAACTCAGTAGGTTCTAGACAGAAATACTAGCCCATTACCAGGTGCTGCCAGATGTCTGCAGGCCCAGTTTTGCACTTTTAGTCTTTGGTGAGGAAAAAAAGGAAGCTTAAAATGTTTGCTGGCGAGGGTAAACTATTTTATACTCTATCCTTAATGTTCCTTCCTGATATAAATAACAGATTTCAGAGCTATGCTGAGCCCAATTTAAGTATTCAAAAGGGGGATGACTTGATGGCTGTGTCACATATGACACCGCTGAGTCCATACAAGTGGTCTGCTTCCTTTAGCAGTGCTGATATTGAGGGGCCCGGTGATGTCCAGCATGTTATGTACAGGCAGTCCACGTACGGGATGCTCACAGCTGCTCTGCCAAGTGCCAGCAGAACACAGTCCTGGGGCCAGTGCAAGGGTGGTATCAAGGCTGGTAGTATCTGATTTATTTTCTAAGGGCTTTGGAGGAGACTCGTGGCCACGTCAGGAGGCATGTCCTGTCACCCCAGAGTCACACACCCCCTAGACGGAACAAAAGCGGAAGTCACTTCTTCCTTCTTACCTTGACTCTCGCAAGGTCATGTGGATTGAGGACTGAACCCTGATAAAACTCCACCTGAGTAAAATGTCGTTTGAACAGAGCTTCCAGCTCCAGGTTAGGGGAGATACTGTGCGGGGAGAGAAGAAACAGCTGTTAATATAACAGATTCAGGTATTCAGCCTCCGTGGCCTCCCTGAATTTCCAGAGAGAGAGAAAAGGCTTCCACCTTCAGAGCACCCTCTTTCTTGCCATAAATAAGAGGCTCACACTGAAGAGGAGTAAAACCCCAGCCCAACTGAAAATCAAAACCAGTACCAAATTAAAATGAAGAGTTTCATAAACTTTATAGCATCTGAGGCCTATGTGGCAAAACGTCTTCAACGTCAACACAAATGGAATCCCTATTTTTAAAACTTTTGTCTCACTCACTGCTTTATTTTATGTACTGATTGATTTGTCTGTGCCGGGTCTTAGTTGCAGCACCGGGGGATCTACCTTGCTTCACGCAGGATACTTCTTGGCGGTGCACGGACTCTCTGGTTGTGGTGCACAGACTCAGTAGTTGTGGAGCGTGGGCTTATCTGCTCCACGGCTTGTTGGATCAGAGTTCCCTGAGCAAGGATCGAACCCATGTCCCCTGCACTGCAAGGGGGATTCTTAACCACTGGCCCAGCAGGAATCACTATTTTATGAATGAAGAACAGAGACTGTGACATCAGGGATCAGCCAAAGGTCTTCCTGGCAGAGCTTCCTGCTGTTCCTTTCACCAAAAGCCTTTTCCCTACTTTTCCCCCTCATGGACTTCCCAACCTCAGGAAATGGATCAAAAAAAAAAATCCCCTCTGAGTAGACATATACAGAGGGTAATCCACTCCCAGTATTGTTCTTGATTCAGCATGTGTACACTATTTATCATTCTTAGCCTTAAGCCACACCCTGCAATCCTTCCCATTGCAGGACAAGGATTAAAACATTGGTTAACCTATCCATTCATTTATTAATTCTGCAGAGATGAGAAACACCTAGCTTCTGTTAGGTACTTCACTAGGCACTGGGAGATCACATTTAGTTAGAACCTGCTAGGTGCCAAGGACTGAGTTAATCAACCCTTGCCTAACATAGTACATAATAATGATGATCACTGCTAATGTTTTTGAGCATTTGCTATGCAACAGCCACCATTCTAAGCACTTGACAAATATTAACTCATTTAAACCTCAGAACAACTCTAGAGGAAGGTATGTTATTAACCCAAAGCTTGGAGAGGTTAATTAACTGGGCCATGGACGACAGGGCTGACAATGATAGATGCTGGGGACACAAAGGTAAATCCTAGCAATTGAAGCATTAGCAGCCAGCTTGTTGATCTGAACTGAAGCAGTGGGTGAGAGAAACACAGCTGCCTGTATAAGTCCAACTGGTCTTCCAGATCCGTTACACACAGGGCCTCCTTCAGGAAGTCTGCCTGCCCTGGTAATACAAGGAGTGGTGGTCTCTCCCCAATCCAGATGTCCCATGTAATTCTGCCACTTGATTAGACTGAAATCAGTACATTAATAGAACTATGTTGTATTCTAATTGCCGCACATGTGCTCCTCTTGAAATGTCCAAGAAGGATGACTTGTCTTCAACCTTCCACATGCTCAGCAGAGGATGGGCCCCACAGCTGGGCACCAGTGGCTGAGCAGTTAATTGGATCTATGGGTTAAGCTCTTGTGGCCATGGTCTGCCCAGTCCTTTCAGAACTTGGAGAAGTCAGTGCCAAGAAGAAAAATGCTGGAGTTCAAACATGGTTGCCAGTTCCATATTCACAAATGTCAAAAGGAAGGAGATGTATAGGATAACTGTAGGGAAGTCAACCTCAGTGAGATCTCAGAGCAGGACTGAGTCCTGAGTGGTCAATACCAAGTGAAGCCAACATCAGCATGTGAGATTTGTCCCTTGGCAATGTGGGGCTAAGACTTGCCCCATGATGACCCCATCTCCATAAAAGAGGAAGACAGCACTACCCACGTGAACATGCCTGCATTCTCCATCTCCATCTGTGGGCTACCTTTTACCTAAAAGGGGACCAGGCAAAAGATCTCAACAGCACTGAGTGGAAGGGAGATATCTTGGTTTCCTTACCTATAAAACAAACTTGATTAAGTCCTACCTCCTAAGTCCATTGTATAGCCCAATATATTTTCTCTCACATGATAACAGCTAACATTTATTGGGCACTTACTGTGTGTCTGATTCTCTTTATATGTGTGCATGCTAAGTCACTTTAGTTGTGTCCCAACTCTTTGCAACCCTATGGACCATAGCCCTCCAGGCTCCTCTGTCCATGGCAAGCATACTGGAGTGGGTTGCCATGCCCATCTCCAAGGGATCTTCCCAACCCAGGGACTGAACCTGCATCTCTTGCAACTCCTGCATTGGCAGATGGGTTCTTTACCACTAGTGCCACCTGGGAAGCCCACTGCTTTGTATACTTGGGATGAGTTTGCTTTTCATTCTGATAATAGCCCAAGATGGTAGGTAAAAACCATTTTGACCTGCCCATCTTATGGTTGTAGAAACTGCGGCCCAGGGACTTAATTTGTTCAGTACTTAGTTGCGTCAGGATCAAGATCATCCTCTGAGTTGAGCCTGTACTCTTACTCCCTTTTCTGATTTAAGGAGACACTATGGTGACCAGCACTGTGTCCCATACCGAAGGTTCCTAGGAATGACAGCTGTTGTTACTGTTGTTACTGCCTTGCACTCTGCTTCCTGTTACTTCTGTGTCTTGCTCGGGCACTATGTTAGTCCTACGCTCATAAAGAATCCACACCAGACACTGTGGATACACCTGGATTGCACAGATCCAGACAGCTTCGGGGACAGTAATGATGTGTTTGACCAATAATGAACCTACTGTCACTTGCCAGAGTCACCTCCACAGAGGCAGGTGCAACTCTCATCACTGAACGAGTGGGTTGCTTCCTTCCCATCGTTTCTAGAACGTCCTCTCCAATGAGTCCAGCAGAGACGGTGGCTGAGTCAACTCTGCCCTGCCCCCCAGTGCCACCCCCACATCACTCCACCTACAGACACTCAGGGGGTTCCCCCTTGAGCTGCCTGATTGGGTGGAGGCTCTCAAAACCGTGGGGGCCTCTTACTTGTGAAGAAAGACGATCTCCACGTTGACATCGTCCCGGTCCTTGTGCAGAAAGTCCTTGAGGAAGTTGGAGACGCTCTCCAGCGTGATGTGTCCACAGACCACTATGTGCCTGGATGGGAAAGGCCAGTTAGATGAGGCCAGTCCAGAGATGCCCTGGCACCCACCCCCAGCAAGACAGAGGAAGCGCACAGCTGCAGGGAAGCATTCAAGTCCTCCAAGGAGGCTCGGTAAAGCCCAGCTCCCTTCCCCAGAGGGCTGTGAGGCAAAGCAGCGGGGCCAGAAGGTGCTCAGAGACTCCTCGACAGAAAAGCATATGGCTTCTCACCTGATGCTGCACAAAATCCTATTAAAAGCCCAACCGCTTGGCCAAGTGGTTTTATGCATTTAACAATAAGTGACATTATGCTTGCGCTTAAATGCTGCATTATCAAGCCCCTTGCAGATTCATATCTCTCCCTTTCTGCCCACAAAGCGTCCTCCCGGGAGATTTACCGAATGAGTCTTGGTTTATGACATAGAGCTTATCAGGTAATGAGATAACAAATCTTGCTGAAACGATGATTTTGTGTGTAAGAAAGCGGACTTTTATCAGGGTGGCTAATGTGCGGCTTGACACGTTATGGGCTCTGCTGGCCATAAGCAGTAAAAAGGAAATTTTGCATTTTTCTGCCATAACTCCTCCGACAATGGGAGCATGTAACACTTTACAGTAAGTGAGCATCACTCAGGGCTAAATGTGGGATGGGACACCTATGGAATCTGAGATGGTGCCGCAGGCAGGCTGTGCATCCCCAGACAGCTGCTTCCTTAAGATGCCTGAGATTTCCACAAGAAACAAAGGAATTTACCTTTGGACAGGGAAGAAAAGCTAGGAAGGGATGAGGATAGAATGGTTTGTCTTTGTTTCGGTGCTTTGGATTTGTCCCTGGAAATAGTGGCTCCCCTTGAGATAAGCCCATCTTCCAGGACTACTGGAAGAACAGTCCTCACCCCCCTGCACCCCACCAATATCTTTGGACTCATGAACCAATCTGACTTTGACACTGGGCTATACTGTGGCCACTTACATTCGCTATCTATGATGCTCAATCAGGAGTAAGCTCTTTAATACAAAAGACTGCAGAGATGAAATCTGCCAGCTTCTAGTAAAGAGACTGTAGCAAAAGGCTCACTCAGCCCAGGTCCCTGTGCCCCTCATGCTGACAGTGACAGAGGCTGACGCCCTGGCTGGACTTTGAGGCATGGGCAGGTGGTGAGCATGAAGCACAGTAATTTTGTGGGAGAAATTTAGAATGGCCAGGCCCCTTGCACTCCATAATTGCTCTGTGCACATTCCAGTAAGGCAGAGAGCTCATTGGCTGGAGGCGGCTCCTAAGAGGAGGCAGTGATGATCGCTTATGCGATGTTCCATTAGATGCCATTACAAGAGCCTGCCCTTTCGGTGTAATTTGGTGCTTGACTAAGTATGTGAGAATAATGCAGTAAACTCATTGGTGAGAGGATAATGATGCAGAACAAAGAGTAAATCAATAATATGCACAATGCAGTTAATAATATCACCGTTATGGACTGTTATTGTTACGGTGCTGCACTTAGCGGTCGGGCAAGTGGAGGCCCTTGTTGGGGGGGGTGGGGGGCGGTGTCAATGGGCTTCCTCAGAAGAGATGTTTTAATATAACCACTTGACTCTCAAGCCAGTACCTGCTAGGTTAAGGGAGGTCCCCTGGCCACAGATCCAAATTTGATGTTTCCAAATGTATATGAATAACTCCCTTATGAAATGCACAGTATGTCAGAAAACATGATGTAAATTGAACAACTGGATTATACACATTTTTGTCGGGTCATATCTTGAAAAAAGTGATTCTTGTGGCAAATGTGCATTTATATGGACAAAAGAGGCTGCAAATGAATGTGCATTTCCTGAATAAGACTTCTGATTTTGAATTTGCCAAGTATGTTCAGAAACTGACCAAAAAAACAACATCTCCCTCCTAATCTGACATCTCCCCAAAAGACAACAGGGCTGTTTGGGGGACAATTCTAATGCTTTCTGCCTACAAACTTCCATGACTGAGAATGAGGCCAGAATGAATTCAATGTACGGGCACCTCTGCAGGACAGATAGGTGAGTGGGACTCTTCCTGATAGTATGGCAGGTTTGATTCCCTGCTCTGCCACCAAGGATGTGTGTGATTCTGGGCAAGCGACTTCTCCATATTAGATAGATGAGGGAGCTGAGAGGTTAATACTACCCATCCAACCTCCTGCACCAGGCACTGCAAAGCTCGAAGTTCTTTACCCGCATAAGCCTGGTTATCATTCAGAGCAGGACTCAAATCAATGATCAGTCCAGGAAAATGCCAGAACATTCATCCTTCCCTATCTTGTATGCAAAGAACTGAATGAACATCTGCCAGCATTCCTTCTTCCTCTTGTGAGATCATTCATCTCTAGGACAGATGTGTGAGAAGTGGAGGGGAAGGAGGTGAGTCCATCCTCTCACCCTTGAATCAAAGACTCAGGCAGCTGATTTATTCAGCCTTAGAAAGAGTCAGGGTTCTCTTAGTTGAAAATGTGCTGGGTACATATAAAATATATTCCAATGCAATCAATATTATCCCTTAAGCCTTTAATTAGCTTTCACTTCTCTTAAGAAGCAGACAAATGTTGGCAGGAGAGGGGAGGAAAAAAAAAAGGATTGACTTTTCTCATTTGGTGCTGGCCTATCCAATACCATTCTAGACAATTGAAAGTATATATATCTTTAAGCTACAGCATGATTTCTGAGGTGGAGAGCAGTCTTTATCAAAAAAGGAAGAAAAAATCTCCCTTCAACATAATTGGTATTTTTGCTCAGGAAAAAAGCGAGATTGATTGAAAGCAGATTGCCTTTTTGCCCAAGAAGAGTTATTAGGTACATTATCATGGCAACCTTGGAGAACCCATATTGTTCCAATCTGTCCTCTATCTGAGTTGAAGATTTACGGCTTCCCCCTTTTGTGCCAATAATCATTTCCCTCCACTTTGTTTTCCATACAGTGGAAGTTATCAGGGAGCCCACATATTGAAGATGTTTGAATGCAGTTAGAACTGATGGGTGGGGTGAAGCTGCCTCTCTGACTCAGCACCTGCATTAGGAGGTCTGCTCCCCACCAGCTCACATCTGAGGGAGTGAGCGCTAGGGGCCCTGCGGAGTACAGGGGATGGACGGTGAACGGGGAAATGTTCTTTTCCAGCAATATTTTCAGGACTCTTGAAATTTCTAGAGGCACTAGTTTGAAGAAGGCTGTTATTGTTGGGGAGGAAAGAAGCAAGAATGTCTCACATCTTCAGTGATTGAAAATATAATTGAAAATATTGTAAGACTGAGAGCATGGTGTGCCCTCCTTGGAAGCATAGTGATGGTTGTTCACCATGCATGCTTTGAAGAATGCCAAAAAGTTCCTCACCCAAAATTATCTCTGTCGGGTTCCTTGACACCTACAAATCTACCATGTGAGATTCATATGTTGATAGCCCTGTGTCAGCTCAGCTCAGACACTAAATAACCAAACAGTCTTGGGCAAGGTACCAATTCTGCATTTTACAACCATAAAGTCAGAGTCTCTGAGGGGTTGGAGCTATTACCTGATTCATGAGGTTATCTTGAGGATTTATTTAGATAGATAATACATGTGAAGGGTCTACTAAAGAGTCTGGGCCATTGTAAGCATGATTAAATGGTAGGATTCATGTGATGTCTGTAAATCAGGATGTAACAGATATGGAGTGGTCTGTAGCTCCTGGAGTCTCATCTGATCCTCAAACAGCCCCACATTCTTGCTCTCTGCATCGTTTCAAATAGCCTCTCTGAACCTCAATTTCNCAGGATGTAACAGATATGGAGTGGTCTGTAGCTCCTGGAGTCTCATCTGATCCTCAAACAGCCCCACATTCTTGCTCTCTGCATCGTTTCAAATAGCCTCTCTGAACCTCAATTTCCTTAAGTCACATGCCTGACATCCCACAGCAAGTAAAGTCACTTGTCCAGGACATGATCCGGGTCTCTGACTCTAATTCTCACAAAGACAAAGGTGAAGACGTGGAGAGAGAGCAGAGGCTTCGGTATTTCAGCTTCCACTCCTTTACAACAGACAGGGATAGGCCAATGAGAGGTTCCCTCGGACATACAGTGGAGGGGACATTGGAGGGTCCTCCCTGGGACAGGAGAGAGGCCCTCACTTAAAGCATCATTGCAGCATGGTATCAATAGATACTAGCTGCATCTAGGCAGCGAGGCCAGCAAGCTCAAGATAGCAAAGGCTGAGCGACAGCAGAAACTCAGAACCGAGTTGTTAACTGAAGGTACGCAATTGGCCAAAGGGCTGCAAGGTGATGTAAAAACGACCTTTATAGCATTATATACTATATCCAGCCCAAGGATCCCACAAGAGAACAAAAAATCTAACAGAAGATTCACTGACAACAGAGGACAGTCAGGAACACTGGCTGAGAAGGGCTCTACTCTTCCCATCTGTGACTCTGGATCCAAACTTCTCGAGACTACCAGCGATCCTAGTGGTTGATGCCATTAAGGGCCTGGCCACCCGGTTTGTGAAGACGGCTAACAAACCCAAGTCAAACCCAGTTCTGATGGAATGACCTCTTTGGTTTTTAAAGTTCTGTCAAGTCCGGTGAACAACTCTTTCTCGGGATAAACTAATTTTAGCGGCTTGGATGAAAAGACTCATCTCAGATACATGAGGAGGCATCTTAAATGCCAAAATAGTAGCCGATGGCACTTTGTGGGAAGAAGTTACTCATCCAGTGTAGGAAAGCATGCCTGGTTTGGATAAGGGCTCCAGAAAGAGGGGATGGATTGAATTAGGATGGGCAACATTAATGTGTCATGGGGCAGGCTTGGCATCAAGGGTGGAGTATGACTTAATCAGAGGAATGATGCTTGACTATTACAGGCTCTATCAGAAAAGTGCTAATTGCTTATTTCATAGGTACAACCTCATTCAATATTTCCCTCCCATTAATAAGCATCTCCACTTTCGGAATGAAATCCCACACATTATCCTCAATCTCACTACTCTCTTCTTGGAGATGGGCCAAGTATGC